TGTAATTTATCCATGATTAGAATTATTCTCCTGCAGGTAATGGAAAACAAATAGAGGAATAACTCACACATGGGCTTCAGTAAACTACTAAGTTTGCTTAAAATTACCGAAACGTATCTTCCTACGTTACAAAATATAACTGGCATATAACATGATTCATCTACTCAGTGGCTGTTCAGATAGATAGATACTTTAAATAAAATAAACATTAAATGAAAATAAAATCTATTTAAAAAAATATTTCTACTAGTTGCCAATGCAGAATTTCTTATTTTAATTTAGTTTAACTTGATGTAGTAAAATAACAAAAAAATTTAAGAAAATAAATAAATACATGCATACATACATAAAATATAAAATACACACACACATATATGCATACTACCATTCAAAAATAAGATTTGTTTAATAAAAGAAGTTTCTTTTATTTATATATTATATTATTCTAAATTATAATATGAAATGTTTTTTTTAAAATGCAAGCCTGTTGAATAAAAGTATTAATTTCTTTCAAAATAACAAACCTACCGACCCCACATTTTTATTATTATTTAATTACTTTTTATTAATAAATACACAAAACACACAACAAAATAACTATAACTGCATCTAAAATTACAATGAAAATGGAACGTAAAAAAATAAAAACTGATTCAAAATATTAATACATTATATTATAATATATTTTCATGTGAAAAAAAAAGCAAAATCTGATCGCTAAATCAAAAGATGTTATTTAGAGATGGTTGGATTGATAAGATTTTGTTGGCGTGTTTCAGTTTGCTGCCTGGGTGGACGCGGTAGTGTTCGTCTTCAGCTTGGAGGATGAGATCAGCTTCCAGACAGTTTATAACTACTTCCTGCGTCTTTCCAGCTACAGGAACACGGCAGAGGTTCCCATGGTGCTGGTGGGGACGCAGGGTGAGTCATAACACCATCACTGACTCTATTATTCTTCTACAGTAGAACACGGGATACACAAATATGATGTGCACTTGTTTTTATTAAATCCTCCATGGAAGTCTCGCACTTAGTCATCGTCTAAAGGTGACGAAATAGTACATTCGTCTTGCTTTAACAAAGCTGCAGGATAAAAAGACTCTTTCTTACTCATTCACCCAGTACTTGTTTGCAAATTGCACTTTGATGAGACTCATAATTAACAATTATGAACTTGTAGATGCTGTACTGTCATTATGTGTGCCGAAGAGCTAGTTTAAAGGAATAGTACACCCAAAAATGAATATGCCGTGTCTTATGCCATCTTATGATTTCTAGATGCCATCAGCGCTGCCAACCCAAGAGTGATAGATGACGCCCGGGCTCGGAAACTATCCAACGACCTGAAACGCTCCACGTATTACGAAACCTGCTCCACCTATGGTCTTAACGTGGAGAGAGTCTTTCAAGATGGTGAGATGCTTTATGTGATAACCAGTGTCTCTGAAGTCTACTTTAAGTGTTAATGCCAAGTATTTATCCTCAGGTGTGAGTTTACTAACCTAGTTTGCCGTTAAAGGGACAGTTCACCCAAAAATGAAAATTACCCCATGATTT